ATTATTATTATTATAGAAACATAAAAAATAAATGAGACTTTTGCAGTAGTTTTCATATTTGTGGTAGAAAAAGTACATCATGACGTTATATTGAAATGAAATACAGTTACATTATTAGCACAATTCCATGATGGTCTGTTCTGGTAGACTGCATACCATAAATCTGTGAAAAGCCTTGTAAGAAATTGCACAAATTAGTAAGTTCAGTAGACCTCAGTAAACCGTATGCCTACAAACCTTAGCACTATATTTTACAATTTTGTTAGTTTAACTTTTTTACGGATATATGCTTTGCACTCTATACAACAATTCAGTTCAATCCAGTTTTCATACTATTTCTCTCGATTCTAAAACACAGGTTATTTATAGTTTATTTACAAAGTAAATCAATTTAATTAAATTTGACATCCCGATATTTATCTATTTCGATACAATTCAGGCCATCCTTAGTCTTAATGTTTAGGTTAGCGCACGTACTGAGACGGCTACGAATTCAATCTCGATGTTTTTCCTAAGGGGCAATTACTATTTCGATGTATAGTTCACTTTATCTATTGAATACTTCGTTCTTTCTTGAAAATGCAAAATGCATGTGAGATTGAGGCCTAAATTTCTTGAAGCCTTGATAAAAATTTCCGTTTGTAAAATTTTCCCTTAGGCCAAGTGATGCGCCATTATCCCCAGACGTTTTTTTTAAAAAAAACTGTTCTACTTCAATTTTTCTTTTATTTCGATCATTTTCATAAAATTTCTATTTTCCCTGCTTTTTGAAACGTTCTTTTTCGGTCCTTTTTAAATTTTTGATCTTCGTTCCTATTTTCCCCCTTCAAATAATACGCAGTTATAGCTGAGGAAACCAAAAAAGAGGATTTAAAAAAAAGAAATGAGAGAGGGAGAACCAAAGAAAATCGTTGTTGTACTATTCATTTTTTGTTTTTTGTTTTTTATAGTGTACTTTATTTTTTGTATTATTTTACAGTTGTATTTTCTTGTATCTTTTTTTTTTTTACTTTATTTTCGCTGCAACAGAATCAGAAGTGATCGAGTTCATAGACTATCATGAACACGTAATTACGATCGTTTTAGGTTCTGTAAACAAGCGGTCAGGGAATAGAGTGAAAACATTGAAAAACATTCAAGTTTTCGTGCTGTGATTCACTGGACAACGAATGCATACGTCGATCACATCCTCCCCCTCTTCCTCTTGACACATAGTCTTGATATACCTCTTGAGCTCAATTGATAAACAAGGCTTTGTCATGATTTGAAGCACCGTCCTTTTAATCAATGGGGGAGGGGAGGGGGGGGGAACAAAAATCAACACCATGCAATTGACAAGGGGAAAAAGAGGGGGAGTGGGGAGGTCCATGAATAGGTTTTCATAAATGAAGCGAGGTTGCGATTTCCAAGTCTCTCTCGATCAGTCACACATCCACCCTCCTCCTTTCCTTCCCTCCTTCTTTCTTTACCTTCCCTACTCTCTCTATTAGAAAGGGGTCCAGAATTAAATAAATAAGCTTACCAACTTCTTATTTGTGGCTTAAGAAAATGTAAGGAATAAAGACTCGGAAAAAAAATAACGTGCTTAATTTCATAATCTTTAAAATAGTTATATATTAATAATTTTTAAAAGTAGTACTTACTGGATTTTATTTTATTCTATTCATTTATATATATTTTCAAATATTGCAATGCGCTTGTAATCATTTTAAGGAACAGACACAATAAGAAATAAATAATTATCAATATTATTAGAAATAAATAATAATAATAATAATATTAATATTAATAATAATAATGATATAAAATGGTTACTTTAGAAACGAGTTTCTAGTGCACGAGCGGCTTGAGTAATTCAGAACTTCGAGGCAATTGCCGAAATCAACAAATCTCATAATGGTGAATATGATACATGCAACTTTGAGAAATACCGCTGTGTATTTTGATTGCGGACTCATGTGGCTCTCATTTCATGTGACAGAGCACAGACGACGACGTAGTTCAATAAAAACAACAGCTGAAGCTATACGATATTCCGCATTACAAAGAAACCCGTCCAAGAATACGACAGATTTTGATAAGGGCCACTTATCTAGAACACAGGTTTAATGTCACATCTTGTGGTAAGATGTTTACGAGCACAATGCCAGATTAACGTTCTATAAAAATAGATATATTTAAATATACCATAAAAGAGGCTTCCCCTGTGAAGTCGGGAAATCTGCTACACTTTTCTAATACTTGTCTTCTCAAGTTTCTGTCAGCATTACCGTAGCACACTACGGGGCTGTGTGGGCGCAGAAATTCCTAGTGTGTTTAAGGGTGAACTAGCTACTGGATGATAATTCGATTCAACTGTACGTGTGTGTTGTGTATAGAGCGTGCGCATGTTTGTTGTTGTCGTAGCATATCGCAGTCGTAGTAGTATTAGAGAAGAGAAGAGAAGAGAAGAGAAGAGAAGAGAAGAGAAGAGANAAGAGAAGAGAAGAGAAGAGAAGAGAAGAGAAGAGAAGAGAAGAGAAGAGAAGAGAAACAACAATAAAGCTGGTAATAATAGAACATTATTTATGTGACCAAGTAATTGAACTCAAAGTCGAAGTCGTATTTGATCTCGCTTTGAACATGCCTCTTCATGAAACAAGTTCCACTTTCATGGTTAACTAGTTTGTGGTAATGGTGACGCAGCACAAAAACGTACAATATCCCTTTTAAAGCGCTATTTATATCCTCTTGATATCTTATGTTTTGCACTCTTTCTCTGATAAACCGACGTCTACTTTTTGATATTCAATATCAGAGTACAAACACTTGTTTATAATCCTTCGGGGCTTTTTACAGGTAGTTATCAGTATTTGACACCTGCGCTGTGGCGAAATTCAAATTACGGCAAAAACCCGCATATCATTTATTTTGATTCGACTGTGAAGTGCTATATAGAAAATTTAAAAAAAAACCTATTTAGGAAAGGTTTGACTCATGAAGGTCTAGTTATAGTGCATCTACTTTTAGCGTATATGTTTCTGCAAGTGTAAACTAATAAAACAAACAAAAACAAACAATCACCGCGATCTCACACAACAAACGATCGACTTGTCTTGTCTTGTGTGTCGTTTTGCAGTGCTCACGAAATTCTAAAATTAGCCTTAGATGATTTTGCTAAATTATACATGGATTAACTGTAGGCTTAAAAGGAGTTTAACCTGTTCTTTAGTGGCATTATAAAAACCCATTAACGTCTAATAGTCTTCGAAAAAAGTCAGTGAATCCTTTTGTCACCCCTAGATACATGTCTTAAGAATATACTTATGTTTTCCGCTTTTATTTTTATTTTTTTTCTTCTGGTAATACAACCCTTAATAGACAATTTTCGAAACATTTAAATACCGCTGTGCACCTCGATCACGGACTCGTTTAAAAAGGGTTCACCTCATTTCAGTGTCTAAATATTCMCAAATAYCAMCGGYAAAGTAAAGAATGCACAACTTCAACAATACAAACACTTTGAAATTCCACGGACCTTCACTGAAATACACTGAATATTCAAAGTATTTCCATACCAAAAGGAGGCCAACCCCGTGTCTGCATAGATAACTCGAAAACTGGAGAATTGTCATATTTATTTCATATCCTATGGGTTCTATGGAGCTAGTTTACATAAAACAATTCAATAAAATTTACAGTACAGTAATTTTACGACATTCTCTGGCTTTACTTTTCAAATCTCTTACATTTTATATAGCTTTTATTTAATTTTCTAATGATATAACTCGTTCTGAGGACTGATTTCGTTGTTCGAAGATGTAATCTTTAAGGTTACTATCAATAGACGTCACTACTACGGCTAATATCTGTGTTTTGAATGAGGGAAATTCATGTTTCCGACTCAGGCAATAGGGACTTTAAGATTTGCAAAATCTACGACGGCGACGTCAACCGGAAGTGTAAATATTTTCTCTTTGGGGATCTTTTCATTGGAGATTTCCTTTGTAAACATTGTTGTCAGTAAGGTCAACTCATTCACAGGAAAGACAAAATTTGAAGGCGCGAAATTCCAAAGTGAAGTTGTTTACACTTCCGGTAGACGTCGCCGTCACAGATTTTGCAAATCTTAAAGTCCCTAATAGCAAGCCAATCAACATGCACCGTTGCACTGTATCTTGATGTATATCATAATATTTTGTAACCTAGCAAACTTGGTGTGAAATAAAGTAATTAGTTGCAGTAATATTTATTTTCCTGATTGGAATTAAAATCTTGTCCCACAAACAACTACACAATATCTGTTTTGAAGAGTACTATAAGGATTACGAGACAAATTTCATTTATTCTCACAGAACAGTAAACAATAGAAACAATTTATAATCAATTTTTCGCAATTAGAGTTTCAAATTCTGAGGTATTCCAAATAATTTGTTGAAGTTGTCTGACATAGTAACGGTAACTAAGGGGAGTTGGAATTATGAATTAGAATTTGGAAGCTATATATAGAATATATCGTAGGAATAGATAGTCATATAGAATACTTCGATAACTTATTTTTAGTTGTATGTTGATTACCCCCTAATCAACTCAAAAATGTCACGTGACAGATAGTAAGCTGCATTATTCCAGGTTTTTCACAGCTGGATGAATGCTAAATTCTTGGGCAACAATGATTTTTATTTTTGATTACAATGAAACTCAACGTCGAAGAAACCAAATAAAATAAACGATAAAGATTATTAATTATTTTGTAATAAAAACTATGTAGCTCTGCATCTTACGTTACGTTACTATGGTTTTGTGGTCGGACAAATAATTCTATGGTCGAACGAATATCCTTGTTTAAGTACTCAAGCTACGAACTTCTGTTAAATATGATTTTACTCTTGCTTCTATCGAAAGAGCGCGCTATTCAACTTAACAAAATAACCGACAATTTTTACTTAAACAGCCTTGATGACAGCATGGTTTTCTTTGCACTAAGCTATCTACAATACACGTAGAAGAAAAAAACCTACCTCTCGTAAGATATTCCCAAATCCGTAGAGTTTGTCTTAATGATTCCACTGCGCTCTAACAGCTATAGTTTCGATTGATAGTGCCTCAAATGGCAACCACTTTATAAAATGTGTATTTCGACCTCCTATTGTAAAATATCAATAGTTTTATCTAACTTCAACTGCTCCCCAGCTTGAGTCAAACTACGCAGCTGTGAGTCACCAATTCACAGCTCTAATGAAGCCTTTTCAAGCCACAGGCAAGCCCAGATAGCACACTTAATTCAACTCAGATCCCTGGGGGCTTAAAACAACTGTGAATAGTAACCTGCAATAACTTGTCATTCCGCCCGGGGCATTTTTAATTCATCAAGTCTTAACGAGTGAGATTTTAGATAATATGATGGGAAAAATGTGGTGAGAAGCACATCCGCAGAGAGCCGAGGAATTCTGTTTATGAAAAAAATCTATTTTTTAAAAAATTCTTGAAGGGATAAAATTAGCAACAATCACGTGATGTAGGAGTCTCATGACGTACAGCCGTGTTGTGACGCGAAATTTTTTTTTTTTTCCTTTGGGAAATATGAAATATTCGTGAAAAATATTAATAAGGACGTTCGCAGGCATAGTTCGCACGCAGCCTTTCTACGCATGTTTGTTTGTGCGCGAGCTCGTCGTGATGACGTCATTCGCATTTTTTTTTTCTCTTTTTTTTTTTTTTTTTTTTTTTTTTT